ATTACTTTTTTCAGCATCAGAAAGACTGTTTTTTCGATCGCAAAAACGAATCTTCATTTTCAAGAACATGTGCTCACGATAATATAGAATCGATGATGGCACAATTTTCAGATTTCACCATTAAAATGTACTGTATGACAAGTCATGTGACCTACAGAATACAATGATTGTAGAAGGGGCTGATTTGAAGGGGCTGATTTGAAGCTGATTGCTGGATTCAGGAAATAACAAATCTAGGCTGTTGAGTCTGTTGATGGACGAGGGAAAGGAAGAAGCAGACATTTTCCAAGGTCATAATACATTAAAGTTTGAATTATTGCTGTTGTGAAAACAGTCCAAAATGAAAAAAAGATACTCAAAAAGCTGGGAGATATTTGATTTTTAAGGCTAAGCTTGCTGGATGGAGGACATGAGGACAAAAAGGAGAACATGGCCTCTTTTTGCTGTACGTCTGGTAACCCTATCTTCGTTGGACATGTATTTAACTATTCTGTTCTGGTTCCTGCAATGATCTCTTTAAATGGGTCAGAATCATTTATTTACTACATTAGCATGCCACGCATTCCCAAAGGCTCTGAGCTGCTAACAATCAGAAACATTATTCAAAAAACCCAAAATAAAAATAAGCCCACTGAAAAATTAACAAAAATCTCAACACCATCGTAAAGGATTTTTTAAAACCTACCAGAGTCATGTGACTGCCAGTGAATCCCAACATTCAAAGCATGATTCCCTTCTGGGCTGGATGGAACAGGCAGGTTTTCACTGCTCACCTGAAACCCAGGAGAGAAGTGGTAACATGGATCCCAGTAGGGAGGGAGTTCCAAAGCACGGGAGCAGCTATTTAAAATGCCCGTTTCCTAGGTCCCATCAGATGGCAAGGAGGAAGTTGACCCTGTTTGATCTGATTGCATGAGCAGGTTAATATAGGAAAAGGCAGTCCCACAGATAACTAGGTCTGGAACCACGGAGGGCTCTAAAACTGACCGCTGGCTCCTTGAACTGCACCTGGAACCAACTGGCAGCCATGCAGCTCCCGAAACAGTGGGGTCACCAGAGTGTAATGGGAAATACCCAACACTGGCGCAGCTGCAATCTTTTGTTCTAGTTATAGCATCCACATACTCTTCAAGGGCAGTCCCATGCAGAGCACATTACAGTAGTCCAAACACAGCATGGGTGACTGTGAGCCGGCTTCCTAAACTAGGAATGACTGTGGCTGGTACACAAGATGTAACTGTGTCAAAGCCCTCCTGGACAGAATGTGCTACCTTCTCTTTGAGCAGGAGCAGAGTGTCCAGGAGAACCCTCAAGTTGGGGAGCACAACCCTGTTCAGAGCCAAAGATGTTGCTATCCCGGAAATTTGGCCCATGGGTCCAAAGCCACCTTTTCTTGGAAGGATTCACTCTGATCGCCATGGCCTCTTTCAGAGGAGATGGAAGCACCCTGTCACCCAGATTAGTGTTTAGAGTGCTCAGATCCAACTCCTTCCACACTGCAGAAGGTCTTAACCAGCCACAAGGGACAGGGACCCAGCAGACTGGTAGAAGAGCCGACTCTACAAAAAGTCCCATTTGCCCGGACATGCAGACTCAAACTGATCCCAGGTTACTTTACAAGATGAAGCCTCAGTCATCTGCTTTAGCACTGACCAGCTAGAGTCCAACTCAGCTCTGATATGGGAGTTTTGCCTGCCAAAAGTCATGAGAATCCTTCACAGCAGCCTTCAGGCGTACTCGGTGATCCCTTGCTTCACCCCACTAAGTCTCCACAAACTGGGCCACTTTTTCCTATTTGGGACTGTTTTTAACAGGCAAAAATAGCTTCCTTAAGCTTCCTTTGGCTTCATAACCCCCCCTCCATTCCACCCAAACTAAGTAGAACATTTTGGCCCTACTTATTCTGGTCAGTTTATATGCCAGCCTCCCCAAGATGCACCTGGTTTGTGTCTTTGCTTGGTGTATGACCCTGATCAGTTAGGGCTTATTCAACAAGCTATTGTTACATGACTTTAATACGTTTAGCCCAATATTGTTTGTTCTGGCTGGCAGCCATTTCAAATCATTTCAGACAGAGGCTTCCTATTAGCTCTGATCCTGCTAATTATGCTACCAAGCAGTAACAGGAATTGAACCCTGGGGCCTTCCTTCAAGCAGTTGTGTATGCAGCTGAGCAACGTTCTACCCTCCCACCCTGATGATACTTATTGAAGAATGCTTACCCTGAAGGGTAGATTTAACATTTTTCCAAGGGGAGAGAATAACCATCCATAAATACCAGGTAGTACTCAGCTGGCAGCTTTGTACACAGCATACTAGATTAAAATTTAAGGTTTGCATCCTGCCTTTCTTCTGGGAACTCAAGGAGGAATTGGAACCTGGATCTCCCATCTTCTAGGACAACCCCCATAATCACTACACCATGCCCACTCTTTTAGACACCTATTATTGTGTTTCTGCGTGAACACTCTTAACCAGGTCAACACCTCTCAGCTGGATTTGCACAAGTACTTGGTTAGGCTTAACCTTGTTTTCTCTTTGGAGGCTTAGCATCTCAGGCAAGCCCTGTCTGGGGTGAACCTACTATGCAAGTTCAGGAAATAGGTGAATTGGGTAAACAGGCTAAGTGTGTGGCATGTCTGCAGTTGATTGCCAGAACTACTCTTAATAAAAAGTCTGCTTGGAGCTCCTTCAAGCAGTATTGTAATAATTCAGAGGCAGAAGGGCTCCAATTTCAGGGCTGGCATCCATTTAATTGATCAGGCAGTCGTTGATGAGACCTCCAACAACACCCAGGGCTTATTTCTGAGAAACAAAGATACTAGCGGAGTTAAGAGTCCAATGGATGGTCTGGCCTGCACTGAAGCAAGCACCTTCTAAAACTAGCTCCCATGCCCCACCGCTGCAGCCAATTCCATGCTAAACACCCTAGAGAAGTTTAGGTCTATCTTCTATGGAAAGATAGCTGGGAAAATTTCCACTCTGCCTCCCACTAGCCATTCACCCATGAATCAGGACTAATTCTATCACCATTGTATTGCTAAATACAACAATTTAGAACTGTTTGCCACCCAGAGTCACTTGGTTGAGATGGGCGACTATAGGAATTAATTAAATAAACTAATGCAAACTTCAACCTCTCACTCCTTAATAGCATCAATGGACAGGTGGGAAAAAGACTCTAATAGAAAACCCTCAAAACTCACGCTTGGAAATTGGCTTCCCTTGGAAATTGGCTTCCCGCAAGCACAGCCACCCTAGTTAAAATTCACAAACTCAATTCTAAAGGACAATGTTATGGTTCACTCACAGCATCATTGCCATGAATTACCCAGAGATTACTGATTTAGACAAGGCGAAAAGAGACACAAAAGGCGAGGATGGAATGAGTTCAAATGCACTTATGCAAGTCGCAATTTTATTTACGCATTTCAGCCAAGAGGCTTACAGTCAAAATCTCCAAAGATACAGCATACTTAGGGGCACATTAGGGCTCAATTTCAGGCTTGAAAACTGGGTGGAGCCAATGCAAACAGGATAGAAACATGTATTTTTGTGATACTCTTCTCCCTTTTGAATTTTGGAGGTTTAAAATAATCTCTTGCATGCCGATTTTGAAAGTCATCCATAAGTTGCAAAAATGTGAGTCCCTCTGATGTTATAGACCAGGGTTTCTCAACCTTGGTAACTTTAAGACGTGTGGACTTCCACTCCCAGAATTCCCCAGCCAG